TTAATAAGACATAGGCGAATTCAAAACTGTAGTCCATCCTGGATGGGAATACCTTATGGGAAAGCAAGATTATGTGAAATTAAATCAACTCTACTCATATCAATGTATGGAAATTCAACTGCAGTACCTTCATCACCTTAATCGGAATAGGATGAATACGTCTCATAGATATGATTTACTGTTAGTTTCGAAACCCTACCTAGAAACTAAGTATAAATTGCTTGTCTTATTTTTGTGAAAGTAGTTATACATATCCTTATTAATTTTCGCCTTAGATACAAGGTCCTTTAAACGGATCCTAATACCCAAATTTTTTAGCTTCTTATCATGAACCCTCTTAATCATCTTATGGATTACTTCACCCAAACCGTAAGCCATACCTTGCAGCTTCAGAATCCCGGCACAGTGTTTGCTTAGTCGGTTTTGGGTTCTGCTTTCCTTAGGTCTAATTTTAACCAAACTATTCGATACCTCATCCAGTTCTGTATCGGTAAAAATAGATAAATAATTACGCCTACCACGAAAGCAACATTTAGGAACTGCATTGTGAGAAATATATATATTTTTAAATATAGTCCTATTGACTTCTCCTGTTATAGTCTTATGGTTTTGGTGTAGCGAGAAGACAAATGACAATAACTTGAGCCATACATACGTCATTATGCGAAAAAAAACTCGAATTTCACAGGGTCTCCTGATATTGTTGTGAAAACTTTCATTCCCTATACAAATGCATGACGAATAGATTCGTAGGTCAATCTCAATATCGTTTAACTGGAATGTCAAGTTCATCAACCGAAACGGACATACAGGATCACGCAATCCTGACCTTTCTTCTCCTTGATTCATTAAATCTAAATAACCCAGACCAATGTGTTCTGACTGGTAGTTCCGTAACCTGACTTTCATGAATAGAGAAATACATCACATCAATTCAACCCTTTATTTTTAGCAGAGTAATGCAATCTCGGGTCATTAAGCCTTTTTCTTATTATTCCGAATGATTGCCTATTTTGCGTATAGACGTTAACACATACACATACACACACACGCACTCGAATATTAGTAAATTAAACAAACGTTTCTATATCCATTTTTATCTACATTTTTATCGAAGAGAGTATATGTATCATATGGGAAAAGCCCCTCATTCTTCTTGATTGAATGTTACCTTAAGGCTTTTGCAGGAATGAGTCCCAGATCTGTCGACTTTCGTCATGTGACATGACGAACGAAAGCTCAGCCCATCTTCGCCCGAAATGATGGCGTTTATCACATTAAACGGCTGCAGTACGACGCGAATCAGCCAGCGTCTTCTGATTACAGACGAAGTGAAAGTCTTTACAGCAATCTTATTTCAGGAGACTATTCAGAACTAGCGTTTTCTTTGTGTATACATTCAATTTAGTACAGATTTATAGACAAATTTTATTGTAATTATTATTTAGTAGAAATAGTTGGGTGGCCAAAATTCGTAGCTAGGCTTCTCAGGAAATGAATTAGTGATTGTTTTCGATGAAACTTCCCGTAACGCTGTTTAAATAGGGCTGAGCATGTGTCGTTAAGGGAGTCTTCGAAACTCGACTTTGCTTAATATAGCTTTGACGCATATTCTTCAACCTCGGTGCCGAACAGAGACGCGGAAGATGCAACCTCCCACATTCAGTAGAAGAATGAGTGGTTTGTTTAATACATCATTAATTTGATGTGGATTTATACCACTTAGGAGTTAATTTTATCTTATCTATCCCAATTTCAGGAGAGATCAGACCTTAATCAATAACTATAATTAAATTAATTGACGAAGCAAGCAAAACCTCCAAGATTCAATTATCTCCAAATTTACGGTTAGCCTTCCAATCAGCTACAGGAAAGAAACAATTTATACTTGAGAGGCATTCCCCTTAGTTCGTTTCAGGTGATAATGGGACTAGTAGTTGAATTGTCCCACAATCCTATGAGTAGACCTTAGCTTTTTACTGAATTACAAATAGCCTTGCTTAAAATTCGCATCTGCCCTGTGACCCAAGGGAACTTTTGGCAGTGTGGCGTAGCGGTCTGTGTGTCGAAACTGCACACTGTAATGCCATGGTTCGAGTCCCGCCGAGGCTGCTGATTAGACCAGTTCAGGCGAGATCGAAACTGCAGTCCACTCCTGTTTGGATGAGAATAACTTTTGGCAATGCAAAGACACGTGAAATCCACTTGAAACGCAAGATCTACTCATTTGATTGTGGGAGAATTCAACTACCAGTCCCCTTATCATCATAAATGTGATATACTGCTAGTCGCTCAAACCTACCCATAAACGAAAAATGCATACTTTGGTTTAATGGTAAAGATTTCTGACCTGTTTTGTAACATCATCTTCCCGGTTCAATGCCCATTTGGAACAGATAAAACCAGACGAAGTGATGATATGGAGAAACCATCTGCAAATTGCTGTGTATTCAACGTATTTGTTCGTCTGATTTGGAGCTTTATTTCAACCATACTATAGACGAAATCAGTGACGGAATTGAATTCTATGACAATATAGAAGCAATAAATGCGAGAACACTACAAAGTTCTCATATGTTTGATGCTTAACCCGGGTCACAAGGCCTGCCAAATGCAAGAAAATAGGGCACCTCAAGTCATTCAGCAGGCTTTTTTCTCTCTCATGTTGCATATTATCACAGCTCAGATACAATAAACATCTCAAATCTTCACACAAGATAGTCTAATGATGCGAAAGTCTAACTTACGTGTCTTGTTGTGCTGATCGTGTACGGACCGGCTCCTTGCAGTGCCTGGCAAACGGACAAATTTCTTTTCAGGATGATGATACTCTCGATTTTCTAAGACCGATTCTTTGTTTGCTCCAGGTCAAAAGTTAAAATATCAGCCTCCTCAGCTTTCTGCCCCATGTATTCATAGAATGAGGGGCATTAAATGATGCTTAGTATGAGAACAATAAAAAAACTCCCAGCCGTCATTGATCAAGAGAGTCAAAAGTGAGATGAACTGCACGAAGTGGCTGCAGAGTATGTCCAAACTTTATATTTCTTCGAAGTTATGAAGACCAAGATCGTGTGACCTTTTGTATGGTCGCACTCCCCTTTTGTTGTATAGAAGTTTTTTGACCTTGTTTTCGCAACTTGGTCATATTGGCAGGAAGACGTAGAGGAACGTACCTTGTCCGGAATTCATAGTATGGTTGATAATTTCCAGAGTCGGACCATGGACATGGTACGCTCCCAGACGTTGGCATCCTTAGTGAGTCTTGCCAGTCTCAGCAACCAACCTACAACTCATCAAAAGAAACAAGTGAAGTCGATCCTTTTGACCAATTGTCTGCCAAACAGTTGTGGTATCGCTCCTTTTGTCCTGGAGAGATACCACAACTGTTTTGCAGACAATTGGTCAAAAGGATCGACTTCACTTGTTTCGTTTGATGAGTTGTCAGAAATCCTTACCATTAAACCAAAGTATGCATTTTGCGTTCATGGGTAGGTTTAAGCGACTACCATGCATAAAGGTGGTCTGACCTCGATCTCGCAAAATGGTCGTGTGGTCATGACGAACTAATTGTATGCATCATGTCCAAAGTAATCTGCTGTGGTAGTTATAATAATTCCCATAAATGGACTGTGAACTTTCTACATTCCCAGACGTTTCACTGACGTCGTCAATGAAACTTGCCATTTCCTGTGCTATGCTATAACTGGTCAAAGAGACAAGTGAAGTCAATCCATTGACCTACTTTCTGTTGATACGGTTGTGCTATCGCTCATCTTTCTGTCCTGGCACAGAGATTTGTCAAAGTGCGTCAAGCTAGGTCGCTCTGACAACTCGAAAGGAGACTGAGACCAAACTAGAGGTCGCAACATGTTAGTCTTCATATTTATATTACTTTAATCGCTGTATCTAATTTATTGTAGTGTATCCTTTTGCTGTATAGTGTTGGGCTGATCTCGTTTTCGCAACTCGTTCGTCTGCTCAGGGCGATCTCGAACAATATACCTTGTCCGGTGTACATTCCTGTACAAAGAATGTACTACTCTGGTAGAGGATTCCTGAAAAGTCACGTTCCTCAAGGCTCCACTGACAACACAAACAAGTTTCCAAACGGAGTCAAAGTAGTTCCATACAGCAAGACAAGAGTATGACCGAAATAGATGCCACTTTATTTTGATATCCCCACCAACAAGTAAAGGATCATGCTTCCTAATTGCCCCTTCGAAGAGAGCCGTTACGATGGCCAAGCCAGGCCAAGCAAAGACGATCGTAGACTCGACAGCGAAATAAAGTGAATTGGTTACGCAAATTGCCCGGACAAGCGTAACGAACATGGAGAAAAAAGAGATTATCATATTTGGACAGAGTTATTAGTCCGACTCAAGCACAAGAACGGTATTTTTTGGACGCTCTCAAAACGAGAAAAGATGATGAGAGGGTAGGGCAAAAGTAGAGAAGAAACAAGTCCAAGGTTGTGGCATGCCTAATCATGACCGATAAAGGGGTTGTGGTTTGGGCCGAGTTGAGTGAGAAGTTGGCAAGATGCGAAATCATTTGACCTTTGAGTACGTTAGAGTTTGGGACACCGAGCGGGGAAGAGAGGAATAGTTGTTGTGAGGAGCAGACCCTTCCGTTGCAGGAGACGACAGAGTAGGGACACTCAGCTGCGGTGGGCTGGCAAGACCGGACCATCTTGATGATAAAGTCGAATGGAGTTGGATAATTGAGGTTGAATGCTAAATATGCGAGTATAGTTAAAAATATTATTTCTCCTGGTCTGGCTTATTTTGCCTATTTTATGCTTTCACCGCGAGAAACAACAATCTGGCCACCGACGTAGATAGATACATGCGCTTGAATACACAGACACGAGCATGTGACCATGTCATCCTGACTTGTATCACCTCGTATGGGAACGCAAATTTTCACGCATACTAAAGGGAACAATATGCTCAGAATCTGCATGGCCAGTTTCGGAGGCCATCTACAATCCCGACCTGAACGAAGGTAGGTCAAAATTAGTCCCATTGAGTGAATATTAAACAAGCCTCAGAGGATACACGTGTGCCGAAGTAAATATTTTAAGTCTATTTTGAAACCACACAAAGCGCATGTGTGAATTTGTAGAGAGATGCACAAACACGCTAATGTCTGTGTGTATAGGGATGCATAAATATTTATGCATTCTTTATCGCGATTATTCTCCTCCTCAAATGTACAAACGCACAAAAAACGGAAGTTTTGTCGTTTGAATATTACACGGAGCTAGTCAAGAGTCTAGTATGGAAGCTAATCTATGGACGGCCGAAATACAATTGATAGCTGGAGGTTAGTGTGTAAGTGTGTGAATGTCTGCATACATGCTGAAGTATAGTGCATGTATGTATATATATGATTATGTTCATATAGAGAAACATGAAAGACTCACAAAATACGAATGGGCGAACCCGGATGAAATGACTTAGGGACCCTTCTGGGCGAAGAAGTTGGCGGGACTGGCGGCAAAAGGTAATTGAAACTTGTGGTATTTTTAGAATGTAACGATTCATTTGTCACTGAGTCGGTTAGAGGTAGAAAAACGTGTAACTAGGAGGAAGCAAAGAGCAAGAAAATAGTCAAAGGTTTCTGTCGGGGATGCACTCGTGTACTTACTCGTACGAACATGTATACGTGGCTCTCAGAAGCAAGGGGACTGATATGGTCAACAGAAGGGTTGCCTGAATGAATAAGTGAAGTATCAGTCCGTGAAATGTGCACATCTGCCTAAGACCAAGGATATAAGTTGTGAACTATTCGAGAGAACTGGGGCAAGCTTAGCATTCAGGTGGATAGGTTTTTATAACAGACAACTCTCAAAATAGGTATATATACACATTAGAATGAGAATAAATAATAAAAGTAATTAAATTATATTAATGAATCTATACGCGAGTGTGGAAATAGTTTGGTAACTGAGGCGACGAGGAAGTAGGTGGTCAATATGTTGAGATTTTGGCCATGAGCCTGGAGCGACATGCAGACAAATGGGCAGATATGCAGACAGGCTGACAAAGTGACGGGTTGACGAGGCAGAAGACAGGGCGACACAGACAAACTGACTGGCAGATGGAGCTGATACAGCAACAGACCAAAGGGAGGTGGGTCGTTCAGAGGGCAAAAAGGCGCGTAAAATACATTTACATGTACATGCACCATGTCCTGTTTACTAGTCTTATCGCCAAGTTGCTGCGCGAACCCTTTGCTGGGCAAACGAGGGGTCTCTTGTAGGGCGACAATGAAGATCGATAGATGGGCAGATAGATACATGGATGGACAACTGGTCAGTTATGTCAACGGTGGCATTGGCAACTGGGCCTGTTGCCAGGCTGTAGGGGTGCAGACCGACTGGCAGATTGGTGGTTGGGCGAGCAGTGAGGTAATCCACTTGGACATGCTTTCAGTGGTCGAGAGGCATGTTTCTCCGACTGCACGTTCATGACGGCCCAGTGTTCAGTGGGCGTCCGAACCTCAGCTGTTGCCACGGCGACTGCGTAAGAGAGGCCGAGGCAGGGACGGGGCCAGACGGCGACGGATCAGGACGGGCAGGGGTGACCGTCCGCTTCGGAGGCGTCCGGTTCACGAGGTGGGTGATCTAATGGGCAAGAGATGAGTACCGTTATTGCGGTGTGGTGGCCCACGTTCAAATGTGTGTGCGAGAAATAGAAATGACTTTTAACTTTATGATAATGTATACAAAATCCAGAGGTCTAGATGCTATACAGTAGTACTGGGAGCATGAATTGTAATTCCTCTTGCTGATGGTATATTGCGGAATATTCGAGGAGAAGCAGCGCTAAACTGGCGCTTAAGGGTCCTCAGTCAAAGAAACGAGATGCTGGTGAGGCAAGCCAATAAGGATGGATATTGCAAGGCTTTGGCAGGAAAGTTAGTTTATGCGGAAAGCTACCTTCGGTTGAGTGTGAATGAAGCGGCCTCTGAGTTAATAAATTGTTGAGCGGTTTCCATAACATGTTAAGAAAGAGGTTTAAAGCAGTTTTCAACTATTTACTCCATCATTGTCGCCGTTTATAGACCTTGAAAGAGAAAATAATGCAACAACTAAAATAAATTAATATGAAAGTAGAACTGACTGGGAAATTTCTACTACCAGTCCTTCATGACCTTAAACGAAATAGGGTGAATACATCTCATATTACTGATTTACTGGTAGTCTCGAAACT